AGAACAACAACCAGACCAAGATACTGTGGTAAATGATACTGTGGTACTTACTGTGGTAAATGATATACAATATACTATTTATACCGTCAAATGCACCAGGGAAAAAGAATGTCTTACAATATTTGTATTTTAAGAGGTATTTGGCATGTGATGATGGATGAGGGACTTAAAAAATCTTAACATAGATGTAGTGATTTTCTCCAAAAGTTAAGATGACCTGGGGAGAAAAAATATAGGAAGGATTGTGGCAAGGTAGGATAGGGGGGACCAAGTGATACAGGCTAAGTGGGGAGATATTTACCAAGGAGCAAGACAAGAGGGAATACTAGAGTTGACTTTATTTGTCAGTCCAGATTATTTACAGGCAAGCAGGCCAAATCATCCTTGCTGATCTGCTTGTTATTTGTACTTTGCCTTGAAGATAGAGAGTTATATCAAATCGCTAAATGCTGTAATAAAAATTTGCCCCCCACTATTTGGTTTTAAAACAACAGCATATTATTGATTGATTTAAATACAATCAGCTGTGCTTAATGATTTAAATCCAGTTTAAATACGCACTGTTTTTTAAAATTGCCGCTCATTATTGGCATGTTGCTTTTTGCAGCTTGAGTTCTTGGACAACTTTATTGCCTATACTTTGGAAATTCAAGCAGTATCTTTTTTTTTGTAGTCACTGTTATACATGCTGCAGCTTTAATTAGTCCTATGGTGAAAGCGAATTTAATTCTCTGTTAACTAAATACATGTTGCTGTGTAGGTAATAGACTGTATAAGTAACAGCATCTGTTAAGATACCCAAGATACCCAAGTTGTTGTACACAGGCTGCATTAATTTGGGTGGGATTTGTAGCAGTCACAGGAAGCACTAAGGAAAAAATGGGCTGCACGCAGTAAATCTGCATCATTCTTTGCTTACACCTGCTGGGGAACAGGACACTTAAATAGCTATTTGCCTGCCCTTCTTTTCAGGGATTGCAATTTGGCAGGATGTGTGAGTAAGGCCGGCATCTACAGCGTCAAAATAAGTCACTGACGATGCCAGCAGTGGCAATATGTCTAAGGATTTTGGGGCAATATTTGACAGAATTGAGGTTGCATTACAGAGGTATGATGTAAGCTAAACAGTTTTTGTCATGAATTAATCTTCTTTGCCACATTTTAATGCACACAGTGTCAGTGCTCGAGGACTAAGTATATCCTCCGCGCAGAACCCCCAGCCCTACTGCCTGCTCCCTGCCCATTTGTATGGATTTCTTGGGAATTGTTTTCCTCTTGAGCAGCATGTGAGGGTGTGGGGAATGTGAACTAGGAGATAATTGTCATTTTTATTTGTAAGTACAAAAGCATCAAACTACCATTAACAATAATTAAAATTTGATTATAAAACATCCATGACAGCACTGGTAAGTAATTTTAGTCCTAGAACATAATTTATTTGAGTAACATCGCTGCAGGGTTATAATAAAGTAATTAATACAGTGGAGCAGAATGTAGCAGCTCTTAGCATTATACAATTTATAGCAGCCATAAAAAATAAAGTTAAAACATAAGCAACCTAAAGAGGCAGTGAGAGGAATTACAAGCAGCAATAACTTTATCTCTCAGACACCACCAACAAATGAGCTTTATGAGGCCATGTTGTGACTCAGTGGAATTACTCATGTGAGTAATAGCTTACTAAAGTGGAGAAAAAGTGAAAATAACCTTTTGAGTTATGGCACTGTGACATATGAATAGTGGCTATTTCTGTGAGCACACATTTGCCAGACAGGAAGGTGAGTTTGTGAGCTGCTTCTAACGGGCACCCTGAGGAATACAAAGATTTGCAAATGCTTGATAAGCTACTACTTACTCTTCC